CATTGACATAATAAATGTAATTGGTCTGCCTAATCAGGAAATCACTCCTTGAAAGAGTTATGCAACTCATCAGGAACCATCAGACCGAGCCTGACTTTAATTTTCCTCCACAACAGTTCAAGGACAGCAGTCATAAGAGAGGAGTAAAACAGCGGTACTGATCTAAAGACTGGTTTGAAGGGTACAATATGTTGTGCTACTCGAGATCCACACATGCAATTTTCTGTTTGTGTTGTGTTCTTTTCCCTATGCCAGTTCATCGTGGTTTAATTATTATCAGCTTTTAAAAATATTGTGACATACACTGTACAGTACTTCAATGCAGCTGCATAAAACCAACAATTTTAATTCATGGGTACTGTATGAATAGATTTTGTCGATGAGTCAATATAGATAATGTGATCACAATATTGTTTAACCCTTTTGCTCCAAAAAACATTGGCCAATGTGAAAAAAATGAGAAAAATCCTAAATTTGATTCTGTAAAATACAGAAAGAAAAATAGTACAATGACAAAAGTACTGACTACTGTAAGAAGTTTCATTTAAATGGTAAACACCATGCGAGTTGATCCACAAACTCAAAAGCTAGAACAACATTTTATAGTTCCATAATAATTGATTCTGAGATTTAAGGGAGATAGGAGTTGGGGTGGGGGATGGCTACCCTAAGTCCACCACTGCCTGGGACCTACAGCTGTGTTAATTGAATCCCATTCAATGTATATTTAATGATAAGAGGATATGAAAATATTGAGTGACCTGATCACTGCGTAATAAACACAACTTTATGTTCGCAGATGATAGAACTGTCTCCAGGGAAATCTGTGTACACTTATGAAAGCCATTTAACAAAGGCCAATGCAAAGAAAACAGCAACAGGAACAGCCTGTTTCTTACTGGGCTGTTTTTACACTGAGGATGAGCTGGTGGGGCGAAGCCTTGGTGGCAAGAATGGCAAACAGGCTGTTGATACGGGCATTCTTGATAGTATATTGAGTAAGTAGTGTTGATTAAATTTTGAGGCATTGATAGTGTTTATACTGTGTTGTGCCTGGTGCATCTATTACAGTGGAACCCCGTTAATACGGACACGAAAGAGACAAACCAAAGTGCTGGTATTAAGCAAGCTACTTTAAGAGAAAATATAATTTATATAACCAATGTAGTTGTCAGGACAAAGAAAACTATCCACTAAGTCAGTATTAAACGGGTGTCTGTAGCCGAACACACAGGGATCAGGTTTGACTTGTATGTACACTCTTAATGTAATTTTTGCTATTGCATGTCTAAATGCTACGTCCTTCCTGTTTATTCTTTGTAGGTTTCACAAGAAAGAAGTTCCCGAGCACTATTTCAGACAGTGGTGTCAAGATATCCCTAGGGAACAAGATAACCTGTATTGAAGTTAAGCTAAGAAAAAGGAATGTGCACGTTGTGAGTTAAAGAAATTTTGGAAAAAGCTTATACTTTCAAAGAACGCTGTTACACCTTTGTAAATGATCTAATCATTCTTGCCAATTAAACATTTACTAAAATTTATTTAAAATTAAGTATACTTGAAGAATATTTTGTGATGGTTTTATGCAATAATTATTTAAGTACAAGTGAGTTAAAGAAAGTTCAGAAAGAAACCTGTTAATATACACCTTCCTTGAGAAGGATGACATTTATCAATCCCCTGCAATAAATTTTCTTAAGATTGGTCTTAAAGTCATGTCCTTGGGATGCATTTTCCTTATTGAAATTTTTTTAAAATTTTCTTTCAAAGCCTACATTTTTAGTGGCAAATGATCAAAGCTCCCAGAATGCATGCGGTAAATCTGTCTCCAACAAACTGGATCTGACAATTTTTCAGGGAGACAATGTTGCTGCCTTTGGCAGGAAGTTGTGCTCTTGCCACAATCACTTCGGCTGCTGCTAGCATCATAAAGTGTTAATTACTTCTTTGCTACGGGCACTGTTATATAGAAAATTAATGGGAGCGCTTAAGTGTGCGACACAATTTGTTCTTCCGTCGACCCTCGAAACACAGTATAACTATGTTATCCCGACCGTACCTTGACTATTACAGCGTTGTTTGGGAGGGGCTAGATTCAGAATTTTCTCTGAAGCTTCAAAAATTACAAAACCGCACAGCTAGGATCATAGCCTTTTCCAGTTATGATTCTATCTCAGCCCCCTGCTCCAAGAGCTTGGATGGGACAGGCTTTCTATACGCAGAATTAAAGAAATGCTCAAGTTGTACAACAATATGGCACCTGAGCTGAAGGTCTTACTCCAGTATGAGTTGAAACACCAGTTTTATACCTTTTATGCCTTTTGCCTCTTTATTTAATTTAATTTATTCAGTCACCATTTGTGAACAAAGAACAATTGAAAGGCTTGTTCACCGGTATTCTAGTTTCATTTAAACAATTAGACTGAGCACTGATTGATAGCTTATAGTTGTAATGCATCTTTTCTTTACTGTAGAATAGCAAATGAGCCTTCCATTTCCATCTTCATCGTTTACAGACCAGCAATTCTCTTCCACTGAGGCTGGGAATAGAGCCAGCCTTCTTCAAAGGACAACTTGCAGCAACGCATGCCTTTATCCCTTGTGGTCATGTCTGTTCAGAGGAAATTGTGCGGTAAGGAAAACATAATAGCCTGACCTCAAAAGAGAAGGTGTAAAAACAAATAAAAATAATGTGGCTAGATGAAATTTAGGCTAAGTTAAACTTGAGACAACTGGCCAGTACTCTTTTCTACGCCCCATAATCGGGGGCGTTCTAATAGCTTCGCAGGTGCCGATGGGTTTTTACAGGACCTTCCACCACTTACTGCCTACTCAATCTCATCCACAACTGACTCTCTGAGCTTGATAATCCTGGTTGTTATTTGAGCCCACTTCCTTAACTTTACCAAGGTGTTTGACAGGATCGACCATACCATCGTTATTAGGAAGTTAAGAACGATTTAAAGGCTTGTTCACCGGTATTCTAGTTTCATTTAAACAATTAGACTGAGCACTGATTGATAGCTTATAGTTGTAATGCATCTTTTCTTTACTGTAGAATAGCAAATGAGCCTTCCATTTCTATCTTTATTGTTTACAGACCAGCAATTCTCTTCCACTGAGGCTGGGAATAGAGCCAGCCTTCTTCAAAGGACAACTTGCAGCAACGCATGCCTTTATCCCTTGAGGTCATGTCTGCTCAGAGGAAATTGTGCGCTAAGGAAAACATAATAGCCTGACCTCAACAGAGAAGGCGTAAAAACAAATAAAAATAATGTGGCTAGATGAAATTTAGGCTAAGTTAAACTTGAAGCATACTGGCCAGTACTCTTTTTTACGCCCCATAATCGGGGGCGCTCTAATAGCTTCGCAGGTGCCGATGGGTTTTTACAGGATCTTCCACCACTTACTGCCTACTCAATCTCATAACTGGCTCTCTGAGCTTGATAATCCTGGTTGTTATTTGAGAGCCCGCTTCCTTGACTTTAGCAAGGTGTTTGACAGGATCGACCATACCATCGTTATAGCTCACTTGCACGATGACGTCACGCGTGTAAAGAATTCTGGTAGTTGTAGTCAAATTCGCGTGATGTTTTAAATAACAATGGCGCTCAAAGATAATAATAGTGTTGACATAGCGAAATATTTAGGGCCCTGTCGTGTAATTTTGACAGAAGAAGATATCC